AGCGCTTCCTTTCTCTGCAGGAGGCAAGTAGGAACTTTGACCACGCTTGTTAGAACCAACCAGCCAACGATGAAGAGACATTACTTGCTCTTTCGTGCGCATGCACATAACGTAGCACATTAACGACCACTAACTTTAACGAATAAGTGGCTGACGTTAAATTCGTTATGATTAATGGAACGCTATTTTTTCTGGGTTTACAGTATTTTTGTAATGTAATTTTATTTTTTTCTCTGCTCCTTTTTAAGAGAAATAATAATATTGAGAATGGAAACAAGACTGACTTGCTGAAATGGAGGAAGGTCAGCTAGAGAAAAGTTATTAAAGACTGAGGGAGAGATAGAAATAAAGGAGAGGGAAATAGAAAGAAATGATGACAACAAAGAGAGAGACAGTGACATGAGTGTGTGTCAGTAAGAGAAGGAATGTACAGTATATACTGGAGAAGGAGAGAGAGAGATTGATGAGAGATCAAGAGATGTTCATGTGTTAGATTTATGATGCTATAACTTACTAACTGGTATAATAATTATTGTATCATGAGATTATAAGTTGACACGAAGAGCTATTAGTACCTAGGCCACCAGTCTACTCTGCCTTGTATTAGGTGATAGTTCCGATAAGTATTATTACAAGTCTTTTTGTGTCGCTTGTCTAGTGTGAGTTCGGTTATATTCTTATTATCCATTAGTGACTGGAGGATGAGTAGTATTGACTCAGTAGACAATGAAGTCCACCTTACATCCAGTTTAGCTAGTGATGAGTTATTGAGGAGGAGGTGAGAAAGAGCCTGTCCACTAGTAGAAGTGATGAGAGGATTATCAGAAAGATCAAATGAGGCAAGTGTAGAGTTGTGTTCAAGTGCTTGACAGATATTAGTAACTTCTTTATCACTAATGGAGTGGCTTTTGATGTCTAGTTCTTGTATTGTTTTATTATTAGTTAGTAGTATACACAAGTACTGGATACAATCATTAGTTAATGGAGTGGACTGTATCTTAAGTCTCCTCAGGTTTAGTGTATGCAGTTTAGTTGATGATAGTAGAGATAATGTACTATTAGTAGATGAGTATCTAAGGTCAATCCTCTTATGATAATCATTAATAATACTAATCACTTCATTACACTGAACTAGAGATGGAGTGGTAAGGGATACCTTGTCACTGTCCCAGTGCACATTCCTACTGACTCCTAATATAAACCAAAGGATTATACTTATAATACATGTATGTACATAATAATACACATATTCACATCATGTGTATATACAAACACAAACAACTTGCATAAACAGATACTGACTATATTATGTGTAAGTATATGCACACAGTAACATTTCAGGTAAAATTAGTGAATTAATTAATTTTATGCACAACCCCTAAGTATAATAGAACACATAACATTAAATGTACCGGTATACATGTTCATGAATAAGTATATACTGACTGTCACAATATTCACAAATATTACCTTCATCATGTTGTTCCTTGTCTTCCCTCAGTGCAGATATCATAATAGCATCATCATTAATAGTCTCCAAGAAAAGAGAAGCTTTCTCATCATTACTAGATGAATCATTCCTTATTTTCTGTAAAATAGGAAGAGACACTTCTTTCACTGACAGTATAAACTCTAACAATTGAAGTGACTCAAACATTGAGTAAACACAACTACTAGGAATGACTCCCTCATCACCAGACACCAAAGATCTTCCTTTCCACCAAAAACTAATCTCCTTCTCATATATCTCCAGCTGCTCTCCCTCACTGAATGATATTTCATCACTTTCTATTGCATGATAGTCATAACGAGCAATAAAAACAGATTCTGCTGTTGGTTTATTCACTATATACCAGTGATACAATATATTAATCAGTTAATGAAATAATGAAACATACTTCTTATTATATTTCTATATTTTTTATTCTCTTCTCTTTCATTTAGTATATGTACACTCATTACTGATATCTGTTCTTGTAGTTCAGCTATTTCTCTCTTAATATCTATTAATGATTCATTCTGATACAGTAAACCTATCATAGTATAATTATAATACACTAACACATACATTATGATTCAATACCAGTTTTATTTGTTAAAAATAAGTGCAATTGCTCTATTTCCATTCTCATTCCTCTTCTGATTCTGTATGATGCTATAAATAACAGAATAATAATAATTACTATTATCATTATAAACCTGATCTAGAACTATTTCGTAAAAACAGATGTTGTTGAATTTCCTTTAGTCTCATTTCTATGTTATTTCAATTATAATGAACAAAGTTTTATTATACTTACTTGTTAGTGTTTCTTCTAATTGTTTGTTTGTCTTTATTTCTTTCATTAATTGTTTGTTAAATATTGTCACACTTGTAACAGTTGATAGTATATCTGAAAAATAATAATTGTTTCAATTATTCATGAATTAATAATACTGATCAACAACCATTACATTAATGTATTATTATACCTTGATTAATTACTGATTGAGGTGTTGCTCCTTCTGTTTCTTTCTCCTCCAGTCTTGCTACTCTCTCTTCCTATTAAGTTAGTTTAATAAAATAGTCAAACACAAATTATTATACCTTTGTATCATGAGGTTGTTCCTTTATCTCCTGTACCTCTTCTTCCAGTGGTTCCTTATAATACAGTATATAATGATAATTACTGACAGTATATATACATACTTGTATCTTTTGTTTCTTCCATATTGTGCAGTATCCAACAGTAAGCTTCATTAGACCATTCTTTATTAATAATTCAAGATATTCACTCAATTTTGTAATGAGAGCTCCAGTGAGAGAGTGAGGGAAGGAGCATGTGATGGTGATGGATTGAGTGCTTTTGATGTCAACCAGTTTCACAAATTTACCAGAAGATTTTGATACGATATCTGTAACATCTTTTAGTTTATGCTCAGTAGCTTCCCATCCAAGTACATAAGAGACGGTTTCACATTTAAGAGGAGGACTGGCCCTAACTACATCAAATGGCTGATTCAAGCACAGATCAACTGATAAATTACGACATGATTCATCAATTTCCCTCTTGTAATTGTCAATGTATTTCTGAGCATCATCAATCTCAAAGTGTTCAACAACAGCTTCAAGTATTACAATATTAATGAGACTGCAATTTTTTCTAATAAGATGCATGATACCTTGAAGATTACTAATCATACTCAATTCTGCTTCAAGGTCAGAGTTGAAATCTTCAATGAACATCTTAAGATCTTCTAAAGGAGGAGGACATTTAGCAATAACTTTGCAAACATTAGAAAACATTTTAGCAAATTTTGCAAAAAGCACATCGAAATCTTGACTTTTATATTGTGGAATATAAAGAGGAGCAACTGCAGAAATAAATGTGACTAATGATTACACCCATATTACCACTCACCATTAGTAGTTGTTGATTTATTGGAATCAGAACCAGAGGAATCAGAAGATTCTTGAGCTAAAAATTAAAAAAAAACTGATTACTAATATTCTATTGATATACCTTCATCATCGGATATCACTTGTGTATTGTCATTAAATGTTTTATCTAAAAAGATTCTTAAAAATTTATTGCGTAAATTATACTAGCTCACCATAGTCTTTTTGTATAACTGTTCCTAGTTTTACATTACCAGTGAACTTGCACAACACACTAGCAAATGTTTGTAGTAAACTATACTTGCTTTCAATAGCTACTATAATGGCAGCTAACAGGACTTCACGTTGATTAGGAACAGAGGGACTAGCTGATGCCACACTAGCCAATACTTGTCCTGTTATGACACCCTCTCTTTGAAGCATAATAGCTACGCTGACAGGATCAGAGAGAGACTGAGAGAGGAGTGGATGATGAGTGTTGAATATATCAATAGCCAGTACTGAACATGAACTATGTTCTAAATATAAATAAAATACACACACAAAGTCAATACTAATACAATCAGTGATATTAACTTACTCTCTTGATCTAACTTGTCAGCTGCACCATTCTCATTCATAGATTTAAGAGCATCTGACAGTGAGTCAAAGGTAGCTCCTCCTTTACTGTCAACATTATCAGCTCTACGCAACCATCTGGCAATGCATTCAATAAAACGATCTTCTACTTTTGAGTAGTTTTCTGCAATAGCGTCCAGTGAGTCCATGAGTAGTCCTAGTGTCAGTCCTAGTTCCTTCCATCTCCTCTGAGGGAAACCACATCTCTTCAACAGATTATATACATCAATAAATTGCTCTGAAATCATATTCAATGATACATAGATAGTTAATGAACATTACCAATAGTCAAAGGAGAAGAGAAGAGACCCAGAGAAGAGGAACAAGAACTGGTTTTAGTTGCCATTGATCAAAGAACAAGCTATAAACAGGATGCAAACTTTGGAATGAATAGCAAGGGAGGGGCTCGTTTAGGGCGGGGCAATTATTGTTGTTTTAACCCTCAATATGGTGGCACTGGAAGGGACAGGGAAGAGAGAAAGTTGATGATGAAAATGATGGAGTTACTAATGACAGCGAAATAACAGATGAGGTAGTTTAAATGTACTTGTAAATGTATACTAGTGCATGAATTTTAATCAAATTGTGAAAGACATGTACGATATGTCCTGTACCCGTCCTGTAGGGGCCCCATCAAAGTTTTTGTCCTGGACCCCACATAGCCTATTGGCAGCTCTCCCTGTAACAAAAATCTATGGACTATAGTTCATGCTTTTTCCAAAAAATGGCTTCGAAATCATTTCCAATTTTTGTGACATTTAAAAAGTTGAAGCCAATTCCGAGGCTAAAATTTTTGAGTCATGTCCATTTAAACAAATGAACCAATTAATATTATTGCATCTCATTGTTTTTATTGTATCTTAGGAGTTTAATGAGAGCTTTGCTGATAAACATTGAATTATGAAATGAACATCAAAAGTAAGTATACATAATGTACATGTACATGTAATCCTTTATCTCCATGTCTCTCACTATTTAGAGTGTTGATAGAAAATATGTGTTTCATTTACCCAACACATTCCCAGAGACTCAAAGTATCTTGAGGTACATTATTCCGCTTGTCATCCTGCCCCTCCCCCACCTCCTCTGGTCTCTCGTACAGCTGTGTGTTTGGTACCAATACAACAAGGTTAGCACACACAGTCAGTGTATGTACATGTGCATGTTTGTCCTTTTATGTTTTGACAAATTGTAGCAACTTAGAAAATTACTAAAAAATCTAATTTTGATTGGAATGAGCTCAAACTTTCTATGCAACATAAGAACATGTATATGTATCAGAAAAGATTATAAAAGTGGAGACTTTAAAAGTCATGACTTTTAAAATGAAATACCAAAATTTGAATTTTTCCAAAAAAAATTTTGTTTCAAATCACCCCAAATTTTTATTACATTTTAAATGCATAATGATATCCTTATGCTTTGTTGAAAGTTTCCAATTTTGCTCATTTGCTTTGGTACAGCTGTTTTTGCTTGAAAATTTTACTCGCTCTTTTGTTAAATCCCATGTTCTTAGCACATACTTCAAAACCACAGACCACAAACCACAAAGCTAAAGCAGCCACCTTCAATAAACAAACACTTTAAAGACATCATAGCCCCTGCAGTTAGGGGTAAGCTTAGTAATCAGAGCATGAATAAGTTGTATTGTTTTTGTTGTTTTTATTTTAAGTTTTTATTAAAATAATTATTGCTTATTGGTAATTATATTAATTGGTGTTTTTGATAATTTCAGGGTCTTCATCTGGCCTCACACCTACTTGTCGTTCACCTGCATTAGCTCTCTCAATCATTCCAATTATTCCAACTGCTGTTGGTCCTAGTACTAGCACTACCTCTAGTGCCGCTCCCATTATGTCAGTAACATTATGTAATTGTGTCACCCTCTCTTCACCAGTCCCAGGGAATGTAATTGAGAAGATTAACCTCAACCAGTTCGTGGACCTGCGGGAACTTATGCCTGACAACATAGCTTTAGTGAAGCTTTTGTCAGAGGTGTGGGCTAGTAATGTTGCACAGACTGGCTCTTGTATGAGGGAGATAGAGGATCCTCTAGCTTGGTGCTTCTACTTCCTGGCCTTGATTGCAGTCTCAGTAAAGGAGAAGAGGGCCAAGGAGCTTACTGCCTGCCAAGGAGCTTACTGCCTATGCCCAATTGATCGTATATTTGGTACAAAAGCATGGAAGGAGAGGTTGGTTGGCCTAGTATAGGTTATTTTGCCAACAAATTGCCACTGGCTCCACTCTTCCTGTGGAATGACTTTGCTCCATTTCTCATGGCGTTGACAGTCCTATCTGCTGCCTCTGTCAAGAACATGTCATGCCAGCTCTGCAATGGAGACGATCACACTACATTTGGTTGTGCTCTATTCCGCTCATCTTCAATGAGAACCCTCCATTGTCTCCGTTGATGGTACTTGTAATCAGAGCCAGACTACTTCCAAATATCTACATGTCTGCTCAGAGTGTGGAGGCAGCTCCCACTCTTTTCTCAACTGCTGCAATGAAAAGGAGATAA